GAACAAAACCAAACAAGCCAAAAGCTCTTATACTATGGTAATGGAAGCCGCTGATTTCGAATATGAAATTTCCACTGTACTGTGACGCTTCTTTCCGAAGTTATCCCAGGTAAACCGTAATAACAGAATTCCCAGCATTTTTCAAAAATGTGATTACCCCGTTAAAAAAGCTAAAAACTCTCGTAAAAAGTTGTGTGATGGATTCAGCGTGTGCGAAAACCCTAGTACACGATTTTTCAGATTTTTTGGAAAAAATTTTATCAAATGGCATATTTCCAGTGGATTCACACACTGGAAGTTCCTACCGTAATCCAACAGTAGCGAAAGGAGATCGGAGTTTTGCTTCATACTGTAGACCTAAGTTAAACCTCGGTCTACGGCGAACGGGATTCCCAGGACTGGGACGGAGATAGGTCTCCTTATTTGATTTTCAAGCATCTAGTGCCTTTTGAAAGTTGGCTCCAATCTAGCAGAAATAAAACTTGGCGCTAATGTCCAAACTTCATTTTGTAAAGCTTGCTTTGGTCTATCGAATGCTACCCCACCCACTTTTTTTCTTGCTCACACCGGTCGTTATTGCATGGTAGAACACTATGCGACATTATTTACGAACAGCACAACATGTTATTTGTTTCACAAGTTTTTTTCGATCCAAACAAAACCATAATCTTCCCATTTCTTTTGATTATTTAGTGTGACCTAGGTTATCATTCGGCAGAGCAAAGCAAGCTTCATAAATAGATATCATGCGACAGCCAAAATCGTTCCCGAGTAAAGTTTGAGAATTGGCTTTGAAAGAAGGTAGGTAAAAAAAAATTAAGCGCCAATCGTATCTCCGTCCCAAAAAATTTCACAAATTCCCCCAGCATATACTTCGATGCGTCACATATTTCAGGCATTCAGGCACTTCCCGTGTTTTTTTTTCATAGGGAAGATCATACATTCACAAGTACCACCATAAGCTTGTGCGCTTGTAAGGGCACTATTTCTCAAGAAATGCTGATTTTATCAAAGCGGCAAGAACTTATGGGACAACCAAATAGATTTTGGGTGAGGTTTTCTATGTGTTTATAAAATTCGATAAAATTTATTTTTATTTCTATACTGAGGCGATGAACGGGAGCTGAAAAATGGCAATGAAGTCCACCGTTTTCTTAGAATTGTTCCTGCAAAAATTGCTAACTATAATCCATTTAGCCTTCTAAATCCCAGTGAAGGAAGTGCAAAAAGTATGCAGTCATATTCTTAAAGCTCTCAAATTTTATGACCCCCTACCCCTCCCCCTCTCCCTCGTAAGCAGAACGATATAGCCGCCAGCCGATATTGGCTAACAGATGGTGTACTCAACGAGTGGATAATACGGCCAGAGGATGGGCTCGCGAGCCAATACGAGTGCAGGCAAATATCAGGGACAAAAGGGTGGGGGAACGAAAGCCGCCAGGTCCAGCCGCCTCCGCGGACTGCTGATCCTGGAACGACATGCAACAACGCTGCGAAAGGACCAGCTGGCCGCGAAAGGCGGCTGGACCTGGCGGCTTTCGTTCCCCCACCCGGGACAAAATGACGAATTGTACCCAAGTTTTGACTACAATTTTTTCTGCTGCCAACGATTTTATAAAAAATTTAGGGACTTTCACGATCAGAGCTTTCTCACGGTCATGCGGACAGATTAGTGCAGAGACGAAAAAAGTGCAAAAATCAGCGGCTGTCTTTTTCACCTGATTGTTGTGATCCGAGATGTTTGCAGCTTGATGCCAGATGTTGCAGAATCATGTTTTGGTTCAAAAAGCTCGCGCATTAAAAGTATCAAAAGTATTAAAAGTTTTCTTCGCGGCTTCGAATGTTTCTCAAACAGTCGACTGATATAGTATGTGATGTGTGTCCTAAGATGTGCGAATGCAGACACCAACCACATTGCGCGTTAAGTCTTGGATCTCATTCAGCACAGACTCAGACTTCTAGAATTGTTTCCTTTTTATTACTTGATTTTCGTTTTTTTTTCAGGCATCAAGGAAATATGTGTGAGAATTCTTATAACAGCAATGCAAAACGGCCAGCATTCCAGCATGTTACGCGCAATTTATTATAGGTGGTATACACGATTTACGACATGCAAAGACTGAGCGCCGTTGCGTCCGACTAAGATAGTTCGTGCATGGGAGAAACAGCAGCTAGTGAGAGAAACAAAGGAGCGCTCGATCAGACAGACGCCGATATTTCTGCAGTCTTTGCGTGCTATGAATCGTCTATAGGTACACCGCATCACCGAAATGGCTCTAATATAGCTACGCATATTCTCAAGATTTTTTTCCATATTGCGACATGTAACTGGCATCGTTTTGATAGGACATTCGAACACTTTTATGTCTGAGATGATTTGAAGACATTGTGTAGCTGACTATTCTGGCAACCACTAATCCAGAATTCGTCATCTGCTTGCGTCTATTTTTATTTTTATTTATACTTACACTGTACTCGTAATTTCGTAATATGCTATTCTAAGAACGTAATGAGTGCTAAGATAATAGTAAAAAGTGCTGATTCATGTGCGAACTCTCATCATCCCACGATATCGCCCCCACTGCGCAAATGTTGTCCGAACTGTCTCTCAAGACGAGACGAGAAAATGCTCAGCGATCGATTTCTGTCAATGTGTCGCAAAGAAGTGAGCTTCCATTGTTGATGTCTTACTGGATGATTGAGAGATTGATAAAATGATAAAGAAACTGAGTTTTCAGGAGATCTATTCTGCGAATATGGGAAATGTCACGCGCTGGGGTGGTGTTAAAATCAACACGGCCAATGCAACTTCCTCTAGTAAATTTAAATAAGAAAAATTCGGCATGCGTTAAGTCTGTATGAAGCACCATATAGTAGTCCGGAGACTGAATTATACATTTAATTCCTGCAAATTGTTCGATCTATGTACTGCAAAAGATAATTCTGACTCGAATTACTTCTTAGCAATTTGAAGCAAAGGCTCTTGACGTTGTGTAACATGATATCATAGCTTTAACGCTGCACCGTTCTGTACTTGTGATCACAGATTGCCGGGTCCCTCGAACTTTTTCGTTCAATGACAATATTGAGTAGTTGGAGCATTGCCTGTGCCTGTGATACAGAGGCTAAGAATAGCTGAAGGTTTTCAACTAAAACCAGCAATTATTTCTCTACACTCTTGCCAACATAACGTGTGCCTGTAATGAAGTAGATATACAGGGTGTCCGTAAAGTATGTATACACTGTTTGATCGTTAATATCTCTTTTCCCAAAAAGTCTTTTGCCTTGCTTCATGTATCATTTGGTAGAGCTGGCTTCAACTTAGATTTACAGTATGGAGAGAATCACCCACCTCTCTCCATTACTGTACGATCACGGTGGAAACTTCAAAGAGGGTTTTGCGCCATGAAAGGCCAAATTTTGCCTCAGAAAGGAAGCAAAACAGCCTGAAAACTTTGATACTAGGCTAATTCGAGTTGCTGATTCTAACTGTAAAGGTCACGACTTATTATGATGCTTCATTAAAGAGTTATGCCAGGTAAGAGGTAACGGCCATTCTTCAATGTTCCTAAAAAGTGCGATTACACCGTTTAGAAAGCTTCGCAATCGTATGAATAGTTGAGTATTGAACTCAGCGTCCATAAAAACCCTATTACACAAGTTTTCACATTTTTTTTAAATTTTGAAACGGCAGCTTTTTCCACATTGACACCATCCATATGTTTCAAGTTTCTACCGTAATCCTACAGTAATGAAAAAAGATGGGTGATTCGTTCTATACTGCAAATCTAAGTTGAAGCCAGCTCTACAAAATGGTACCTGAAGCAAGGCAAAAGACTTTTTGGTAAAAGAGATATTAACGATCAAACAGTGTATACATACTTTACGGACACCCTCTATTCTTGTAATTGTATCCTGTTTTGACACGCCGACATCGCTGAAATTTCCGCGACGGAAATACTTTATTTACTACTAGCTGGCAAACCCGGCTTCGCCCGGCCCTGTCATTATTATATTCGTAATCAGCATGCTCGATTACCCCCCTGTGCCAACTCCCAGCCCCGTAGCTCAAATTTTGCAAAAAATCGATAAAATCGATATCGATCGATAACGAAAAGTAGCCTATGACACGCTCCTGCCCCGAAGTGTATGTGTGCCAAGTTTGGTCCCGATCGGTTCAGAAATAAAAATTTCTATTCCGCACATACGTACAGACAGACATACAGACATACATATAGACAGACATTCAGCTTTATATATAAGATGCCTCTTGATAAGACGAGAGAAACATTCTTGACAGAGTTAGATCTCCACTCAATACATTGGCAATATCCCAAAAATATCTTATCGTTAGAGGTGATTTAGTGACTCGAAAATTCCAAACCTACCAAAGTCTTGGAAAGTGTAACCTAGTACAGATAAGTCCAATAGCAGGTAAGTCCACCATCAAAAGCTTGGATGGAAAAATTATTTGGATTTCATGAAACTACAACAAATGAAATATGTGAAAAGTTGACGATGCACAGAAACTACACGAAAAGCGTTGAAAAGTAAAAGCTGCTTCGGTAATTTTGTGGAGTGCTGAAGAAACAAAAGATCAAAACAGAGAGCAGGAGATCAAAAGCAGATGAAGGTGTAGAAAATGAGCCTCAGCCAATTCCAGCACCCTTAGAAAGAGCTTTTCATGAGCTTACTGACTGCTCCGTGAATTTGGTATAGCATGTTTTTGAAGCAAGAAAATGATCCGAGCTCTCAAGTCGGAATCATCTACAAGATTTTGAGGTATCCATACAATGAGAGAACTAATTTCATCCAACTTGAGAGTGAATTCTATTATAATTTTCATCTAATTCTAAGCTGTTTGCAATGATGCGTCATTTAGTGATTTACTAGAAATAAATCCAAGAAAAATACTTACGAAATTTTATCACGGGGTCCCCACCTACGCCTCAAGTACAAGTTGTGACATCGTTGCTGATTGGAGATCATGCTGGTCGATTATGAAAGCGCATTTGAACTTTCTGGTAAATTCTGGCAGCTTTTCGCTAGCCGAGGATAACCGCCCGCAACTCAAACACATCTCGCGGTAGGCGCCGCCTCTTCTCTAGAGTTCTGGATAAATAGCGATCATAGAAGCTGACGGCTCAGTAGCCAGACTACACTCTTACAAGCTCACACATTTACAGTACTATGGAGCAGCACTACCATCGTCCAAGACCTTCTGGCATGGCCGGTAAGTGGTACATCCACCATTCTGTTACCTATGCTCGGTTTCGCAAATTTTTTATTACTCCATTTTTTCTTGAACAAAGATACTCTACCAAAACTTCGTACATCCATTTTGCTTCGCGTAGCTGGTCCCTGAAAAATTCTTTTTCTTTCCAAAATCACGGAATTCAAATTCGCTAACAAAATATAAAAAATCTCATGTAAATCTGTACATGAATCTCAAAAATTTGAATCCTCATTTGTTTTCAAAACCATGAAATCCTTTCTTTTCAAGAATTCATTTCCGCTGTTCAAATCCCCTCGAGCTCATAACAGTCCAGCTGTAACCGCTGTATTATTGCTCATTTGCCTAACGAGAGCTCTAAAGTATCATTTTATCTTTCTTTTACATCTCATAAGTCTCGCACGTAATCCTCTCGGCGTTCAAAAACCTCCGAACAAAACAGTAGATTTTCTAGATGGAGGAAATACTAGGTAGAAAAGGGAGACGTCAGCTTGGGTGTAATAAAATGGTTCATATTTGAAGTGATTCTGCGCCCGAAGTTGAGTAAAGTGAGCACGTCTTTGTAAGTCAAAAGTTTCAAGTACTATGTGTATTCTGAAAATTTCTACCGCTTGTAACAAACAGCAGCATTTACAGTCAGGTAGGCAACGAATTCCGCTGTCATCATTGCTCGGAAGCTTTTCGGTCTGCCTCCCAGCTTACTGGTGATGTTCTCATATGGTCGAAAATAACCATTATCCAAGCCATTCTCAGCCAGTACAATTAGGCGCTGTAAAGCGCCAGATGTTAATGCGCTTCACTTTACGATACATTAAAGATATGTTCTGATTGCGAAATGTGTACCTGTAATTTTCATTTATGAGTTCGACCGCAATTACGCAAAAGATCAAAGTTCAAAGTGATCCAATGTTTTGTGACCAAATTTTTTGAAACGTTCGTACAAAATAAGATCATAAATTCCAGGGAAATTCAGATCCTATAACTCTGTTTATATTTATTCTACTTTATTTTATTCTTATCATTTTTTTTGTGGATGGAACTGGAATTAATTGAGTACTTTCTTATCTTTCGAGACATTGTGCCCTTCTTGCAATACACCAAAGCTTGGCCCACAAAGGTAGTGTCCACAAGAACTTGAATACCTAGAATTCTACAACGGAACCTGAACTAACCTAATCCGCAAGCGGTGACCCCTATGATCCATGTGAGCCGACTTGATTTAACTTGGAATATCGCCCAGTAACTAACGCAGGTGCTGTGCTTCGCGAGGAGTACGGTAATGGACTAAAGTTGAGAGTTGAACTTTTCGACTAACAAAGAAAGGATACTTGGTGACCGTGACCATTTGAATTGCGATGTAACCATAAGATGCACCTCGAAACGCTATTAAAGCTGTGCTCGATATCTGCGAAACGATCTTTTCAAAAAAAGTTACGGACTTTTTTCTTAGGAAAGTTGCGTACTGGGGGAGCTAAAATCACCGAAATTGTTCTGGTTTGAGCTACTGAGGAGAATCTCACAAGGAGACTGTTGTATTTATACCTATCTAAATCAAATCCAGCATTTGAAAAGGGAAGAAATTCTTTCATTGATAATTTTGACCCCTCGCAGCAGCGCAATTCATTCTAGAAAAAATAAAACTCCATCCAGGTATTGTTTCGCAGATATGGAAGAAAGTATTCGAACCAGCATTAAAAGGCGTATTTTTTGATATACAAATCATCATGAATGGCCACAGTCACCAAGTATCCTTCCCTTGTAATCTTAAATAAATGGTCGACGGCATAAAGAGACCTTCAGACTGAAGACCGGATGCCCAGGTTTTCTTGAACCATGTCTTCAAGTTGCAATTATTTTGACAAAACTCTAGGAATATCAATTTCAGGAAAAATTCTGGACAAACAAGCAAGCAAATTCAACGATCAAGAAGCTGGATACTTACTAGAATGGATCAAGGTGAGTATTGTATTATTGGCTTTATGCGTGTAACTTCTAAATTGAGTACAGATGTAAACTACTACTTCTGGTTTTCCCAACACCCCTTTTGAAAAATCGAAACTTGAGTACAATAATCATTCTCGAATTTGCGTTCTTATTTCCTTTATAGCACGTCTTATGGCTCTCACTTACGTATTCAAAAAGTTTTCCTAATCTTTGTAAACAGCATTCAGAATGTACTAAATAGTATAATAAACAACTCGCATCTTCTAGGGACTGATCAAAGAAGACTTTGACACAGACGGGTCCCGAGACAACTTTTTGGAGCAACTCAGAAATGGTGAAAAACTATGCAAGTGAGTTTTATTGATGGAGATAAGGCAGTTGCTAAGATGGCGCAGTTTCTCGCAAGCAATTCTATTTCTAGATTGATGAATGCCATTCAAGATGGATCGGTGAAGAAGATTATGAAGCCAATCTCAAATTTCAATTGTATGGAAAATTTGAATCAATTCGTGACTGCTGCCCGAGCCTTGGGCGTCAAAGACGAAGAGGTGGGAAGATTCCCAGAAATCCTTTGTCGCTTGGAATAGATCTTTTTAGACTTTCCAATCAATCGACTTATTCGAGGGCCGTGATCTTTTTTCTGTGTGCGTCACACTTCAGAGTCTCTCGCGCAAGGTTTGTCTTTACAATGAAGCACAAGTAAGAAGTCTTTAAGATAGTCAGGAGTGGAGACTGTGGTTGATTTTCTTATATATTTGATTAATTGCAAAGAAAGCACTGTGCAACGTGTAAAATCCACAGCTAGCCCCTCAAAGATTGAGCTAGAAAGGTGAATATTTCAGTGGGATTTTAAAAAGGCATGGGATCAAACGCTATCATACAAAATATTCCTTTTATCTGATGCAACACAAAAAATATTCATTTAGTCAGCCCATCATCAATTCCCAAGCAGAAATTTGTAACACCAAATGAACAGCCATCATTTCCGTTACTACCTAGCTAGAGTATTTTTTTTTCGTCGAAAGAAGACAACTTATATTTTTAGGTAGAAAAATCGCACAACATTCCGCCACCAAAACAAGCTGCGAAGGAGACCCTCATGAATGCGTGATGTGACGACGTCCTATTGAAGAAAGTTGGACTTTCACTTGTTATTTAATTATTCCAACACATAATATTATGAATCAATAAACGCATTCCTAAGATTGCTTTGTCGATAAACACTTAAACATCAATGTATTTACAGAAACGAAAGTATGTAAACGAAGACAACAACATGGCAACATAACAGCTAATTATTAGAACGCAAGTAATAGGCCCGACAACATACTCTATAATTGTTCGAAAAAAAGACAATAGCGCGCTTCTGTGAAGCAAAATTTGGCTTGAATGATAGTCTCTAATTATTATGTGCTTTATAATAATGACTAGGCTGATTGCAAAAGGGAAAAATATCTATGGAGCAAATATCACAGCAAAGATTCAAAAGGGCAAGTCTGAGCAAAGGGACCACCTCATCGAACTATCCGCGCATAGAACAAGGATAGCAAGATGGCACGACGTTTGATAGATAAGTATGAGCACTGGGAGCACTGTAAACGAAAAGCAGCAGAATGAAAGGCTGTTCAAAGACAGATTGGTACGAGTTTTACCTCGATAGTGAAATGCATAGGGCCGGGGATAAGTGGAGCGTGATTAGAAGAGATATACGATGGCACGCAAGTGTCCACGGTTAGTTCGGTGAGATCCAGTGGGGTTTAGATGTATTGTGGAGTGTCCTGTCCGGTGAGCAGCCGGAACATGCTCGTCGGCATCGTCTTCATGTGAATTTCTCCTATCGCCGTCGCCAACATATTCACTATCTTATCGTGGGCCACTGCCACCACCGACTGATTATTGATCTCGATGATTCGATGACCAACACGGATCCCTCCTCGTTCCGCGATACCACCTGAAACACCAAAGCAATTGCATACCCTAGACTACAAAAAAAACAATAAATCTTGTAGATAAATTCACTTTCTAGAAGAGAACGAAAGATGCACGCTCGCGATGCTTGATATATCCGCCTTCAAACAACATACAAACAGATCCGTTTTTCCCCTGCATTCTGATTCCCCGTTAAAGGCAGTGTCTAGGCAGATTTGAGCGCATGAATTTTCCCCCTGAAACCTTATGAGGGGGTCCTAACTAAGGCACTGCCCAAACGGCAGCGCAAATGATTCATTGACGGCTGAGAAATTCATCCCCAAACACTCCGCGCCGCCGTGACCGTATCTCGCGAGTGGCTTAGGACAGTTCCCAGCGCGAACGCAGTGTTAAAGTGAGCGAAGTCAGTTTCGGGTACGGTCACGGCGCAGGCGCGAAGTGTTTAGGGACGGATGTCTCAGCCGTGAATAAATCATTTGCGCTGCCGCTTGGGCAGTGCGTTAGTTAGGTCCTCGCATCAGTTTTCAAAACAAAACCCCATGCGCCCAAGTCTGCCTGGACACTGCCTTTATGAGCAGAGTCCAAGCAACAAGTGTACTTCTACGTAGAAAAACTGATTGTGAGACCTTGTCTGAGGCTCCGAGCGACAAAGCAACGATGCCTCCAGTGCAGAATCTCCCTAACCTGTACTGTATCGCCCGGACGCGCCAAGAAAAGACGGTGCAATCTTCCGCAGTTTATACGGTACCAGGAAATATGGAAATTTACTCAGCCGTGGATGAATCGCATACTCTATCGTTTGGACAGTACTCAATTACGGCCTCACAACTAGCTTACACGTGAAAGCACCACGTGCCAGTTGTGGAAGCTGCCTCTAATTCGCTGTCTCTAACTCTATACAGTCTATCTGCATCAGACCTATCGTAGGACATCAGACTTATCTGCAAGCCAATACGAACGTACATCTTCCTGGTTCTCTTTTGGAAAAAAAGGTCTGTACACAGACTTGTTTACAAAACTCTTGCCCACTTCCCAAAAAACCGAAAAAAAGATTTCATTCAGAAGAGTTCCACGAACATTGCTAAGCCTAACAGTAACGAACAAAAAACAAAGGTAGATTGCTTATGATTCAGTCTTTGCAAGCCTACGTTATCAAAAGTCTTTACCAAGCAGAAATGAAAAACATTAACATTTTCACAGCAAGCTGCAATTAGCAAATTCCCCAACTAGGATACCCGTAGGGCATTGAGCACAAGTTATATTAGTTAGTTAGCATATTCTCATCTTTTCACAAAAAACTTTTCTTCTCCAACAAAAAACAGGTTTGTTGCAGTAAGTACAATTTGATTAGAAAGGAACGAATCATTGCACAATTATAACTCATGCTCGCGTGTGCAAATTCTGAGCAGCGGTATTGGCTCAAGGGAAAGAAAAACATAGGGCAAGCGAGGCTTTCATTACAAATGCGCCTCGGTGATTTCCCATGTAAATTATAGCTATCATACGAGAACACAGAGCTCCTCATCAGTCACCGTCAATGGCGGATTTCTATATACCCTTCTTTAAACGTATATGAATTACGGTAAACATGTCTCGCCTTAAGATACCGCATCGACGATATAAATAGTATGGTAACAAAGTGATTAAATTCTCCACCCCTTGCATATGCGAACCACCCAATGATCGACAAAAAACTTTTTGAGGCGAATGCGCTCCAAATTATGAGCAGATGATGCAATACTTACTGTTTCATTTGACTTCCTTTTCTTTCCAAATTCCAAGTCACAAAAAAGTATGTTCTTGCGTTTCCTCATAGAAGAACAAACCCTTCGAGCCATTAGGTATTTACAGTCTGCCCCAGTCCTAACCAGGCCAAAATTGGCATGGCGGGAGTCCGCGTCGCTAGGGTTTCGCTGTCACGGCCACGGCCTGCTTCTCTGCTCTCTCTCTCTTCAATCCTTTGGCTCTCTCCGACAGCGCGCATATGCAGCGCAGACCGCTAGCGTTGCGAGCGCGCAAAATTATGTCGACGCTTCGGCCTGATCCCAATTGGAGCAGACTGTAACTGCCTGGTTATTCTCAAGAAAAGCAGTGTAGAATTACTAGATATATGACCCTCGAGGTGAAAGCTTACGCAGCGATGCTTCTCTACAAAAAAGTTTTTTTTGAAGGAAAAACTCACTTGATACATAGACATTCAAGGATAAAGGAGATTGAAAGCATTACAAACGCGGAACTAACCTCGAAGCAATGAACAAATGACACCATTTTGCACCGAAAATCCTAACTGATATTTTGTGTCAGGCCGCCGTATCCTCACTTCAACAACTGGAGGAGTTGAGACTACCGTCAATCGTACAGCAGTAGCAGTCCTGTAAAATTCAAACCAGATTTGAACGAACGATCCTTCGATGTACTCACTTCACATTCTTAATATTTGCTTGTGCAGCCGACAATGGAAGCCCGACGAGCGATATGCCATTAATATTGATTATCTGATCTCCAATGTTGAGCAGATTTGAACGAGCTGCAGGACCAGCTGGATTCATGTGTGCCAGTACCACAGTTGGAAGCATCGATCCCCAGCCGGATTCCACCTTAAATTCCTTTTTATTTTATTTTTTGTTTAAAGCAGGAGCAACGTACCACTACAACACCCAAAGGCTCTCCACTCTTCTTGGGAACAACTACATCCTTCTGGGTTTCTTTTCGGGCAAACATTTCCAACTCGTCTCCCAGCAGCTCTTGTGAGTTCAGCACTTCCTTTGAAAAACAAGAATGCAGAAAATGCAAAACTTCCCAAAGAGGAAGGGGAGAAAACAGGGTTTTGCAAACGATTACCTGATAGTCAATTTGTCTGAGATAGGATGGATCGTCAATGCCGTTCGCACGCAGGAACTCCACATAAGCAACCTGAAAAAAAAACACATAAGCGCTGTTTTCTTCCTCAGACAGTTGAACACTGACCTGAAAAGCTTGACCAATTGATTGCGCAATGAATGAGGCTTCGTCAGACTCAAACACATGGCATATAACCTTTGGAGTCTTTCGAACACCATCAACCCTGTAAGCTAACTATCAATCACCTAAGAGAAAAAATTTTGGCTGGATGATTGAAGACTGGTGTTCAAGAAACAGATAACATCAAAACAGAAACGCCAATCCTTGAGAAAAATATGAGGTGCCTTGTATGAATGAATGTAGAGTTTTAACTGATAAATGTACATAGAGCGCCTTAAGAGACATCAAGTTTTCCACTCTGAAAAAGATGAGCCTTACAAATCCACAACCGGAGAGGAGAATTCTTTGCAAACGAGAAAAAACATCAACCTATTGAAATGCGAAGCAAAAGACTGAAGCAGCAACACCGATCACATGTCTTGCCACATCAGATATTCATTAGCAAACAGCCCAAATTTGATAATGAATATCTGATGTAGCAAAAAATGTGATCAGTGCTCATTCTGGGTCAAAATCTCTAAGCCGCTCTATGAACATTTACTGCTGAGCACTTTACACTGATAAGTAGAGCCTATTTGAACAAACTCACTGATTGCAATGCTCGTCGCTGCTACTAGCTGACATTCTTCTAGCCATTAAGACAACAAGGTCGCCAATATCAGCAATGTAAGATATTGTACGCAGAGCGTGGTCCATCAAAATATCCTGAATGTAAAAGCACTCCAACCTTTCTAGTACATAAGCTCTCATGCAAATGACAACGCAAGGAATGAGTGCAAACACTGGACAGCCATTCAAGATAAGAATTTAGCATAACACTAGAGCCTACCTGTCGAACATCGGTGTCGGAAATTCGCTAAAAATATAACTTCTCAATCAAGCCTAAAAACTTGCAAGTTATAGATACCTGCAGATCGGTGTTTAAAACCATGATTTTCTCTGTAGATATGAATAGATCAATTTCTGTGCTGGGCTGAATTTCACCTTCCGGCGCCTAAATGTCAATCAAATTGAAAGAATGGCAAATTAAAGTTCACTTAGGGCCGCATGCACTAACATCCTCGCGGGGAGGGGATCGCAGCTCAAAAGAAAGCTTCATATTCTGAAGCTCCAGATATCTGGATTTCACGCTGTGTACCTATCCGTAAGTATTCCTACTACCCTTCACTATGAACATGTTGAAGAGGAGCGAGAAGGTGTACGAACCGCATTTCTCAGCTTTTGTATGATCCCTGATGATCCCCGGCGCTTTTCTTTAAATTCATTTTTCTTTCTCCGAAGTTAACGAAAACCTTCCAAAGTTGTACTGAACATCTAACATAACAGTGCTAAGCATGTTGCTGATGAGAACAAATGAGTTTTTGAAAAATCGAATTTTTCGGTAAACCTCAAATTTCGACCTATGGATCATCGAAAATTTCATGACTTCAAAACTTCATTTGTTCTTATCAGCAACATGCTTAGCACTATTGTGTTAGATGTTCAGTACAACTTTGGAAGGTTTTCGTTAACGTCGGAGAAAGAAAAATGACTTTAAAGAAAAGCGCCGGGGATCATCAGGGATCATACAAAAGCTGGAAAATGCAGTTCGTACAGCTTCTTGCTCCTCTTCAACATGTTCATAGTGAAGGGTAGTAGGAATACTTACGGATGGGTACACAACGTGAAATCCAGGTATCTGGAGTTTCGAAATATAAAGCTTTCTTTTAAGCTGCGATCCCCTCCCCGCGAGGATGTTAGTGCATGCGGCCCTTAGAGAAAAAAATTAAACACAAGCTCCATAGAGGTTTCTTCAAATTAGAATATATAAGAACATGCTATGAGTATATAACGGCAGGATTTTGTAACAAAGTTCACTAATGCGAACAAAGGTTTCTATGATCCATACAAAGCGAGAAAAAAATATCTAATTAATCAGTAATTCTCACAATGGATATAAAACAGGCATGGACAGAGTAGAAACACTTATTACAAAGTCAGCAGAAAGAAATGTGCAGTGAAATGCGCCAAACTCTCAAAGAAAGGATAGGATAAAAAGGAAAACTAAGAGGTAAGCGAGCATTACCTTGACTCTGGCAACAGCTTCTTGTGCTTGAGCCATCCTCGCTGCCTTACTTCCCCTGCTTTCGCACATCATTTGCGTCGATCCAAGGTAACGAGCACGAAACAGCACTCCCTCGATGAGAACTGCAGGTTCATGTACCATTGCTATAATGCATTATATCAGATACTGGCAACGCAACAAAAAAAAGCAGACAACGGCAAAACCAAAGCTGAAAACTGCATCATTCGAGGGTCCGCTAAACCACCCAGCGAATTATGTGAAGCTATTCCATTTCGAAAAAAAAAACAGAAAGAGATGAATCACGTAGCAAAGCAAATTTTTGTCTACATCGACTGAGCTTCCTCATGCTACACCGCGGGAAAAAATCTCAACTTAAAGGGAAGACGAATAGAACTAGAATAATCATGCAAGCCCAGGAACCACAAAACCACAAGCCGCAATCGATCCAAAATGCAGGCATGATGACGGAAAGTAGCGGACTTGACTTCGGGGACAGGCACATTACTCACCTATTTGATCTATACGTGGCTCGAAAGTGACATAGTGCAGCGCGTGGTGAGGAAATGAAAGGTTTTAGTACTGCACCGTACAATCTAGCGGTCTTTTTACTAAGAATATCTAACGATGATGTTCAACAAGCAGTGAATTTGCAATTTCAGGAGTTCGACAAGGAAGGAAGAGTAATGATGTGACTGCTTACTTTCTTTGCTGTTCTTTTTCTTTCCGTGGCCGGCGGTGGATGGAGGCGTCTGCGAGGAGTCGTTGGCTCCTCCGAGAAGAAGCCGATCCGTTTCCATCTCATCTTCTTCAGCCGGCACTTCAGCTGTCGCAGACTCTGCGGCTGGTGCATCTGCATCGCCATTCCACTCGTCTTCCTAAACCAAAGGCAAATTTCACGATATTACGAAGACAAAACTCATTTCTTCTAAAGACTGTGCTTGGTCGCAATAGCATTGTCGATATTCAACTTGAGCTTTTAATGACCTGATGAACACAAACCTACCATGAAACTATACAGGACAGCGCATGCCCAAGATAAGCTTGGAGCAAGAGCTCATTTTCAGTGGAAAATTGAAGATATATGCATGAAGCCGCCGTAATCGCTCTCACAATACTTCACAGCCGCGCAATAAGAGACGCCTTTAATATTTAATGCCAGCGCTTCTTCCGCAGCAACAAAAACGGGCTTTGTCTCAAAATGAGGATGAAGGCGCAGTCGCTCGCTTTGTCAGCCTCGAGAAAAGAAAAGATCCATAATCTTCGAGCTCCATACGAAACAAATCCAAGCTTTGATGATGTGTCGAGCAATATCAACAATTACGTCTTGTAAACGCAGACTATCAATTTGCAAATACTCACGATTATGCGGGTAAAAAAACCTTCTTTTTGTTGCAAATTGCACGAAGAACTCAAGAATTTGACAAGACGCTCAAATTGCCTATGCACGAGTAAGCATCAAAGCAAATAATGAAAACGTACTTGAAGTAAAACACCTCCATTAGTTAGTACAAATGACATCAAAGCTTTGTATAAAATAAATTCGTTCCTTACCTGATCTTTCTGCTCCTGTTGCATCTTCTTCAGATAGGATTCTCGTAGTATCCACACAGGCTGCTCTGCTGTTCCATTCTCCTTATTTTCATCTGGCCATTCGTTCGAACCAGACTGTGTCGACTGCAAATTTGAGGATCAGAGATAATTAAAACAAATCGGATTGATAATTCGAACCTGACTGGTCCTTCGATTGACAGGCCGTGCTGGGGGCGGAGGTGGGGCAATTGCGGCTCCGGCTGGGGCCGGGACATTGTGGGATGGTTCAGAAGATGTCCTCGCAGGGGTTGCTGGTTCCGGGACTATCCCTTGCGCCGACAAAGTCTGTGCGTGAATAGGCTGCTGCTGTTTTTGTGCGAATGCTGCTGCTAACTGCTGGAACAAGTATGTATATAGCGTAACCATGAGCAACAAAACTCACTTCTTGGGTAATGGATTGACCTCCACTGTGGAACTGTGGGGTGTAAGGCATCTGAGGATGTGGAAAAGAACTCATGAATGGCTGTCCAGGTGCAAACGGCTGACCCATAGGAAGGGTTTGAGCCATTGTACCAATGACAGGTTGATTCGGTAGCGAAGGCGGCATTCCATGAGAGAGCATAGCCATCTGCAAAACAACAAATTGGGCAGTTACTTCATTAGAGATAAAGATGTTTTTATTATAGTTACTTTCATATAGAAAAATGACCTGTTGGGGCACAAATGGTATCGGATTCGTTGCTACTTGCTGAACTTGCGGTTGTTGTGTTGACGCTGAGGATGTCCCTGGTTCAGGAAGATTGAAGGAGGATCGCAGTTGGCTCAAAGTTTCCTTCGGTGCTGGTTTAGCGTCGACAGTAGCTGGAGAGTAGGACAAAGCGCTCTAAAAACGACTTTTAAGGTGAAGCTCGCAGTAGTTTTCAAAATCAGCGCTTGTACTTCCACAAGTACTGAACAGAAGCAGCTTTCAGCGATATTTAAAAAAAAGCTGTCATCCAACATTTTTGCCAATATGTCAGGCAAAAAAAACGAACAAAAATTCTGGCTACAAGATTCTGCAGAAAAAGGTAAAAAAGAAAATTACGAAGCAGATTGAAATGATAGCATGCTTACAGCTGCTCCTTCACCTCCATTCTATGCGAACGCTATGATGAAGAGCAGAGCAACGAAAAAACAAGACAACCAAGAAACTGAGCATAAGTACACGCGTTCCTAACTGAACACTAGGAGATGGAAGACTTGTTCCTATGATTAGGACTAATAAATCACAATGGAGAGGAATCTCGCGGGAAGAATTGACAAATGACGGAGCCTTTGTATCAAGCTTTCAGCACAGCACCACAACACAACATGCGGATGAATGTCTCAGAGCACTCCACGAGGGTACGCGACGACAACGACTGACAGACCTGTAAGTCGGTAGATACCGATGGAAAGTTTGGTGTGAAAGAAGCTTGTTCGTTCAACGCTGAGAGTGAAGCCGCTGAGGTAAGATTGGTGGCGACTGCAGAGGAGCCAAACAACTCTGCCAACTCACGATCGTCCATCTAAATCCAGAGATACTAACTTTTGGTATATTATCAAGCCATCGGGAAAATGGGTCCAAGCTACAATTTTTCGCTCATTAAAGAGTGAGATCGTTATAGCAGAATGGTTATTCGGAGTTTGAAAAGCTTCTATAGTTAAGTAGCGATATAAACGTCGTACGGCCAGTTTAGCGGTGTTGGGAGTGGCGCAGGCTAGCACCAACAACTCTCACAGCAACGCTCAATGATTCTGCAGTTTATCATACCGAAATGAGTTGCCCTGTGAATATGGGGGATCGAAAACTGGTTAGTGACTAATACTGGACATTGGGCGTATCACAATATTCACCAACAACTATTTGTAGACACCCTAGATGTAATTTTGAGACTTCCCCCGTTGAAGCTGAACGAATAGATATTGAGCCAAGCAAAACCCGTCTTCAGACTCAGCTAAGGACTCAGCCTTTTTTGCCTCTTGAGACTCTGCAAACCCTTTGCTCTGCCCCTTGTTGCATATCGCTCACTCTGTCGACACCAAACTCTTATGACTAATGAAAGAAAAAAGGTGCGTTTGAAATTCTTTGTTCCCTCTAATTTCCTGTGAGTCGCAAATATCTATGGCTGCAGATAATCGGATGTATATCGGCGTGCGACGCGCAGGAGGCACTGCCTCTGACGTGGAGGATCAGAGAAAATGCTAGCTAATGAGTAAGCCACTGCCGCAAGTGTCCATCACACTGGCTTCCATCTCATTACCCGAATTAATTTCGCTGGGAAGGTCTTTGCTTCTCCAAAATACTTGTACAGCGTTGCAATGAGGACGACATGCATGGGATCTCACATATGCGAACTCGCTGCAAACTCGCACCAATGAGATGATAATAGCTATACAGTAAAATAATACTTCATTGGATGAGAAGAAGAATTGGTGGTTAGACTAGCAAAGACGTTTAAGACCTCGAATGCAAGAAAAATCGGCGACCAATGGCAAGATTTAAGAGGACACCGAAGAACAGTCTAGTAATCCGCTAAAACCAGCACCAGACACAGTAATTACATTTTCTTGCGACTAGCTTCAGATGGCTGCCATAAAGTGGCAAGCTTGCATAGCATAGATGCTAGCACATGCTATCATAGACTTTTTGTGGATATAAAGTTTTTGTGGGTAATCCCGCAAGGTAAGAACTAGCAACAGAATATCAAATACCCATATTGCATGAGAAAAGAAAGCAGACAATTTACAGTAGGCCGAACGCTTGTCAGATATATCTCAATGGATGCTGTCAAGCACCACAGGGTGATTTTGGCATCAGATGCGGTCTTCTACAGCTATAAGGTGGGGTAACAACACCGTAATTTCAAATCATTTTCCTTTTCTTCTTGAACAACTGGTCATTACCAGCAATATATGTTGATTACTGATCAGCACTAAGTCGAGATAAGCGATGTATGACGAAAGCTCAGATGCACAAGTCATAAAATTAGGGAGACTATCTTACGGGGAATCAAAAAAAAAAAACGCTTGCCTTCTTGATATTTTTATTTTGTGACCGTCGCGTTATTTCCTTTTCGATTTCGCTCATCTGTTTCCGAATAAGATTAGTTGTTCTCTCATCTTCTATGGGCAAAGAAGTCTTCCTTTCCAACTTTTTCAACGGTGTTCCCGACGATTCTTCTCCGTCACTCCTCGTCAGGTCCTTCTCGGAAGCAGAGCCAATTCCATTTGATTTGCCCTAGACACAGAATTGGTTGTTTCGAAAGCAATTTCCAGATGAGACGGTCAGCTGCGCGCGCATTAACGGACTGGTTTCGCAGTTCGCTTGATTAGAAATACATTGATTAGGCTTTAATTAGATATGCTTGAATATCCAGCACAATTTTTGATAACGAAAAGCATTGCAAAGGAGAAGACAAAAAAGAGAAACGCGATGCTGTCTCGCTTAGTAATCCGATACTGCCCCTAGAAGCTTCTAAGACTGTGTCAACAAAAGAGAGTAATCTAGGGACTCATAACTCACAAGTTCATTTTCTTCACTGCTTCGCTCGTCGGTTCCTTCGCGGATGTTTCTTGTCGACTCTGACGCATCTGTAAACTTTCAATTCGGTCGTCAATAGGAAAAATTATATATTATCATAATGAGAGTGAGTTACTCGTGCTGTTGTTTGCTCATCAGAGCCATCTAGAAATCCTATATTAAACTTATGTAGCAAAAGAAACGCATGTGTTTTATGTTATTTTGCAAGCGAGTTTCTGAAAATCACTAGAAAATTGAGACTCTCTGTTAAATTTTGAAATGAGTTGCGTCTGCTTCAACAGCGTGGTGATATCAGAAGGTTGACTCACGACTCCCTCGATCCAGGTTTTGCTAGAGTAAAGCTGCTTTTATGGTGAATGTTATTTTACAGTTTTTTCTTCCAAAAATGAGCTTGCTGCACTGTACTACGACCTACTAGGCTAAACTTTTCATATTATTCAGATAGCAGCTTGACACTCAAGTTTTTGTTGTACCTACTGAATGACAAGATCCAAGATCCCTCCAACCTTTGCCTCAGATAATTCTCGGCAAATCTAAGTTCTCGCACGATTGGAAATTATTAATAGATCGCTTCAAAGAATCATACTTATGAGGAATACGACCCCACTAAGCCACCATTCCCACCAGTGCGAGCGTGTTGAAATTCGCAGAAGCGACCGCATAGCCAGCCGTATGCGTCATACAGCTGCCTTCATCAATCATAACAAAATGAGTTGGACAATGCTAGAGAGAAAAGGCAGCGCAATGTAACTGTCAGTATGGCTCAGATCTGAAAGCATATTCCTCTTGCAAACAAACATGATTCCTATATACACGTGTGCAACTTCATGCGTACACAAACAAGCAATGAGCGAATTGCGAACAAAATTTGTTCTCTTATTTTTATCACAAATAATTCATTCGTAGTTACGACTCTATTTCGTGGATTGGTGCTCCTGTCCCATAATCCGCTCCTCATTGCTGTTAGATTGCAAAATAAATCAGTCTGCGATTAACCTGCTACAACCAGCAACGAAGAGACAAGAGATTACTCTGATTACAGATGTATTTCCGTAATTTAAAACAACAAGCCTGTCACCCAAAAATTTTTATTCGCATTCCACTATAGTATTGTTTGCCATTTTTACTAGCAATAAACTGCCTAAGAAAGATGATAGTTATGTCAACTGCTGCATGCACCAATTTGTACAAAAAATCGTCTCAAAAGAGTATTACTTGCAGACATTAATCATGGGATATTGCCAAAGACGTGATGATATTATCTATATAGCATCTGCACGCAATGCTACACGGTCGTGATCAACTATAGTCAATTTCCTCTGAGAGGTCGTAAGATTTATACTGGAAGAAAGAGCGAGGCGGGCTTAGAAGATAGTCTGTGCAGCAAAACCGCTTCCTGCTAGCAATTTTCATAAATCATGCTAGGAGAGGAACCCGTTCATATATGTAACTGCTTGTTATCGGATAATCTCCAAAGATCTTGATGGTAGTTTATTTACAAAGCATATAATCTCCTGAATACACCAAATCTCTCTTGCAAGTTCGTTCAGACCAACGATCTGCCGTTCAAGACATCGCGACTGTCAGCACATTAAATAGTGAACAGGGGCAAGCTGTCATCGCAATGGCTTCTCTGAGCGAAAGCATAGAAATCCCTCACATCGCAGCATTGCCATGCATAAATGATGACATTCTGAATGTAATTAATCCCCGAAGCGACGTCGCGAAAACAATCAGCAAGCGGTTGAGATAAGCTTTGCCGAAGGGCCACATATGCACGAGATCAAATGCCTTTCGTTTGAGAAAAGCTCTCGTAAAGTAAAAATGGTTAGTAGTCAACACTTAGACGAAAATTTGCCCGAAAACGGTAGAATGAGCCTAATCGCTACGCTGTGTTTGAAACAATGCATAGGAGTGTAAGTAAAAAGTGAGGTTCTCACCTCTTTCATTTCCATTTGCGATGAAATTTTTATCCGACAATGATGAAGGAGAGTCCGATTGAAATGCAGCAGAAGGGGGAACCAGCTGAAAACAGATAGGTGTCAATCAGAGAAGTTATCAAAGAAATTATCTGTGATAAAGGAATGTGGGCAACCGTAAGATTGACAGGTTAGAAAAAAATACAGTACAGAAAAATTTGCAAATTACCTCTCTATCTGATGATGCAGAAGCAAGATGAAGTTCATGGATGCCGTTTACAGCTTCACCGACGCTTTCCAACTGAGACGCCTGAATACTACGAGAATTGTCTAAACATAAAAACAAAAAAAAAACAAACAACATATAAACATAAAATAAGTTGAAATTACTGATTTAAGGATCAAAACGAAATATGAAAAATTCGGAGAAGTGAGTGGCAATATTTATTGCGTGCATGTCAGAGTGAGCATTCACCATTTTGATAACTGTTCCTATGAGAAAATTACATTTTGTATTTTCTTTCGATTCAGAGAGAAACGATTCAACGAGATAAATGAAAGCGGAAAAAGGTTGCTCAATGAAACGGGTTATTCTTTTTCCCTTCAATGTGCAGCAGAGAATCCATGGCACTTCGCAAGACGGTTCAGATTCAGACCCCTACAAAGAAAATGAATCTCGTATATGCAAACCGATAGTCCATTCTGCCAAATGAAACACCAGATAGGATTTCACATTTATTTCTTTGGTTCCCACTCTAGATTCCACAGCGACAAGATAAGACAAAAAGTATGCAGTATTCACATCCACACAACATAACTGTAACTTTTACTTTCTAAATACCATATTTATACACTTATAATAGATGGAATTACGATGTATACTTAAAAGTATGAAAAGCCGTGACTAAAGTGAAGATGTGAGCTTACCTGACTGCTTGGCCTGGCTACAGTAGTAGCAAACGGCATTGGGAAAGCCATATTCATGCCATATTGATTTGCACTCATCATTTGCGTGAAGTATTGTTGCATCATTTCTTGGTACTGAGCTGGTGAGAAGAAAAAAGCCGGCATGCCTGTCGTACCAGCAGCGGCAGGGCCAACGTTTGAGCCATCGGGTATGATTCCTTGTTGGGGCATGAACGGGGACATGAACGGATTTGCGAAAAATGGCATCTCTGTAAGCAAAATAATTGAAAACTTGAATCCAAGCTTTGTTGAAGCGCTGTACTGATGGAGCGCCCAGCTCGCGAAGTCTAGGCTTGCTATTCGAATTCGAGGTCAGAAAGAAAGCTGCAGGATGCCGCGTTTAATTAGCTCTCTAGCAGATGTACTTCGGAGCTTCGCACTCAAAAAATGTCACATTGCATGAAAGCTATTCCCACAGTGCCGATGTCACCATCATCTGTACACAAATCGCTGCAGAACAGCAGAAATCAGAAAAATGATACTGACAAGAAAATAACAAAAAAGCTCGAAAATATTTGTTTCTCAAATAAATAACATTACCACAATTTCAGTTTGAAAAATCAGTGGCGCTAACTAACAATGAATTTTTTGTTCACTCATTGAAAACTGTGTTACAGTTTTTGGATAACAATGGGAAAAGTGAAAAAAAAATGTGCGCATATAAGCTGCATATCGTCCACATTGCCTATAAAGAATAGTGAATGAAGGATGACTAGCCATACACAAAATTACGCGTAAGTGCAAAGAAAGGATAATGTATTCCACAATGATAATGTATTCCGCAACACGCGCTCATAATCTGCAAGTCCTAAAGAGATCTCGCATCCCCTTAAAAGAACTTACTGCGATTAGGAGCTAACATCTGTTGATTTGCTCAGCTGAGATTTTTCCAATAACGGATAAAAGACAAATGGATATATCAAGGCGCGATCAGTATGGTGTATCCAACGAATATCATGTCAGTATGTTTCAATGCGTACTATGTATGAGTCAGCTATATGCGAACATAGCAAAGCTCAGACGTGGTGACTATAACTTTTGAGGAGTACCTCACGAAACGGAAAAAAAGGGTAGATAGATATGTCGTGGAGAAGAAGTAAGAATTCCCAACGAGTTATTTGCGTAAACATTAAACTTATAAAACCCACCAGAAAAGCTTACGCAACGCAAGTTTTCTTACTTATGGAGAAGTTCAGTCCAACCGATGAACGTTACTGCACATAGGTGCAAGCGAATTTAGTTCAGTTTCTATGTATGGAATGAAACGTGGTAAGAATCACACATTTTAGAGGACAGGTTGAAAATAAATAATAATTTTGAAAGAGGGCGAAGTTCTTGGACGAAAAACTCGTTTCAAACTGTACAATTTGGTCAAGGAAGAATAGGAACGCATGCAACGAATGTTTTGAATATGTTCCTCGTAATTACCAAGTTTCTAAGAGATGAGAGAATGGGTGAAACAAAATAGCGGCAATGCATGGAGCAATGGATCAGCGAATTAGCCGAAAAAGTGCATCATGCAGCTATCTATATGTGTTGAAGTTGAGAGTAATAATATTCGATTTACACTAGCGGAGCCATTTAATTTCTGAAACAAAAAAGCAACCCGGATTGCGCAAGAAAACAAGGTTTCCTTCGCAAACAAGGAAAACCAGATCAACCAAGCGAGTTGAAAACAACAGAACAATGGCGACAAGTCAGCAAACTCACAAAGTGTATTTTTTCAGCTGCATGAGGAGATTAGAAGTAGTCACAGGAAAAGATGATGATTGCAAAGAAGGACGAACTGTTCGAGAAAGTTTTCTAACATTATCAACAAAGGGCTACAGGCTTGTCAAAGTTCTAGACTTCGCTTTTGAAACAATATAAGAGACCGGAGGAATAAGAGATTATGCAGATGGAGCACGGATGTCGATATGGTCATTATGCTGTCTGAGCGTGCGTGCGGCAACAAAATCCATGAATCCTGATTAGCATACTAAGCTGCGATGTCTTGCGGTTGAGTACAAATCGAGTTTGTTTGCATACCTTTTGTTTTTACACTTCAGTGTGCATCAAAACAAATCTGAACAACGGAGACTAGAGATTACTAGAGACGCTGAATGAATTTGGAGAAGAATAAAGACAAAGAAGAAAAGGGGTTTCCGGCCTGACTCACCATAAAAGTTTAGTTTTTCTCAAATCAACCGGTTGCGCGCTCCGCTTGTCTACTGCTAGGAGTAAGAGTTATGAAAAATGTGTGCAACTCACGGAACTGCATTGGGAATGCTTGCTCGACATTCAGAGGAGGAGTAGGAGTCGCTTGCGGAGTGATCGTCGTTCTTGTCAGTGAATTTTCCGGCGATGTGGTGCCCGGCGTGGACATCTTGTCCATCATGCTGAAAAAACGATTCCATTGGTGACCTTTGAGGTGACGAGAGATTAGCCGAGAACGAGAACGAGCTGATGAGCCCGGCGAGGCGACGATGAGGGCCGAGCTTCGCCTCTTCGCAACCGCCCCCAATGGCACGACGATCGATGTGCGTTCGTCGCCGGCGGCCGCTGCGTCCCTACCCGTTCGCCGCGCGCGGCCTCTCGTCCCCTCGCGTTCGTCAGCAACTTTTTTGCGCTGTTATCACTCACAGATTCTTGCAAGGGAGTGCTGACCCGACAGTGGTTCTTGGTGGAGTAGAACGTCTTAGCTATTCAGTCTAGAAATTTGTACGATTGAGGCTGGGAGCAGGTGCATGTGACGTGTCTTTGAGTTTGAATGTTTGCGTTTGTTTGTTCTTTTGTTCACAGGAAATCGCAGAGCATGAGTCTTGCCAGTCTTCAACCGTCCGTTTCCATCTGTATCAGTTTCCCCTGACGGTTTCAAGTTTGACCCGCTATAAATATAGTCGTTGGCTAGCAGGTGTATGGGATAGAAAGGCTCAGCCTAATATGCATACTCTGTGTTTTATAAATGCAGGTTGGACCGAGTCGACCTGACAAACACTAAACTGTCTGCAGGGCATGCTAAACCGCGGACAGAAGAAAACGTTGTGCGTTTACGCCGCGGCACGCGGTCGCAGTTTAGCGTGCAGAAATGTATGCAGTTTAGCGTGTGAATTCGAGGATTGCAGTTTAAGTATAGACCCATCTTCTGCGGACATACTAAGCACAAGTTTTTGGATTTTTTAGCGTCATGCAGTGTCCTCTGAACGTAATCATGTTATCTATCCATCATATAACATGTAGCTGTTATATAATGCGGAGAACGTACATAAACACCATGGTGCTAATCCAGTCAATGTCCCTACGAAAAATTCGCTATAAATTTGTTTATAAACTCTAGATTTTTAGGCGCTGACAAATCCGACCCTTGTGCGATTGAAAGGCTAGATGACCCATCCAATGACTTTTGTTTTTCGAGCATTTAGAAGATTTAGCAACAAAAATGTTTGCGTTGGCTGAAAACATTTTAATAAAGCCCTTGAACTGAGATACTTCTTCGTTTCAAATGCTTTTTCCTCAGTATTTCCAATTATACAGAAATCGAATTTTTTTTGGAGCCGTTCATTACCGTATCAGCAACATAATCTACCCATTTCTCCTTTTGGGACATGCGCCAACTTGCGCTTTACTCGTATCACTTGCCGATTGTCGTTCATACCGACGCATTAGGCCCCGGACAGACTTCACGCGATTTGATCGTCGTGATTCAGTCGCCGAGATTTCTATTCATTTTCGTTTCACAAAAAATTTCGGGCTGGAAAAGTATCACAACCGAAATGCAAGTTGATCGGCATGGAATGATGTTGTAACAGTTGTCTCGTCGCGATTTAGTCGCGACGATCAAATCGCGTGAAGTCTGTCCGGGGCCTTACGTGTACAAAGTATGAAATGCTATGATAAAATGAAATTAACAGAATGTCGTCGGGCGACCATGTCGCTATGACAATGTTGGCAATGGCTGAAACGTTGAGACAACTGCAACCACCAAAGGTGAAAATGGCCATCAAATGTGCAAAGGTAAACATAAAAGCATACAGTTTTCTCTGGATTCATAGCGTTGATTTAGGGAGCATTAACGCTGTCGTTGTCTGCAGAGATGGCAGCACATGTGAAGTTTCAATTGGGAAAACTTTATTTTTTCTATACTGAGAATTTGGAACTGGCTGTGCAGTACCTAGATTCTGCTGTAAGTTTTCGCTGAACATTAAATTTTGAGATACCTTACATTTTTTAGTACGACATGATGACTCGAATGGGCGAATACTTCATCCAACCACGATTAGAAGCTTTGGTTCTCATCTGTGAAGCTCTCATTCACGGTGAGTGCATAATTATATACGGCAATTGCTTTGCAACATTAATGAGCGAACCTAATCAATGGCTACGAAGCTATTTATAGGAAGCATTTAGAGAAAGCCGCATGGTTTTTCAGGGTCTCCGAGTGCGGCGAGCAGCAATCGCGTACTTACACTGATTCGTTCGGAGCTTGGTAATGCAAAAGCATTTCCGACAATCTACGCTAAGTTGTTCTTCTTCTACATAGTGAGTGATTACTCTGCTCATAGCTTCGCAAGCAGTTTACTCTTTAGGAAATGAACACTATTGAAGGCCGTGCTGAAGATGCTATAGAAGCTTGTCAGGTAGCCATACAACAATGTTCGGATGACCCTATCGTCAACCTCTACTTCCGCCTGACCAAAAATATGGTAATTTGCTTATTCCCTTCTTATGAAAATAATGGCAACTCATCGTTTAAGCAATGCCATTTCGACATTTTTAGGTCTCTGCAAGAGTCTCGGGCTCGGTTTGCGATGAAGCAGAAGCGCAGGTTATTGGCCAACTGATAAACAGATTGGATCAGGCGGCCCCAGCTACTGCAAACCTCAAACTCTTCTACATCTGTACTCTGCTGGCTTACATGCTTGCCGATGGAAAGGTAGCCATTTACACCAATCTTTCATTTTAATTTTTTTACACCAAAGAGCTGTTTAACCTTATTGTGGGTCTTTTAGCATGCTCCTCGTGACGAAATGCTTTTTTGGCATGGTATTACTACTTATGCTATTATGTTAGCTATAAGGTAATCCGTCAAAATTGCCAACACTGGTAAACTTTGCATAGGGGGCTTTCGTCGTGCGTAACCGTTTCGCATATATTTTGTAGTTATGTCAGAGACTTAAAAGGTCCTGTCGCAAATCCACAGACTTATCGCCGTAATGTGCGGACAAGATTTGTGATTAGCATGCAGAACATCTTTTCTATACACTTCCACCAAATCCTGGTCTTCTTTCATCCCCCGTGATCTTACTAGGTAGAGGGGCTTCAAGGCAAAGCCATCCGCAGTTGAGGCGTAGCGGAATTCTATGGCCACTAATTAACAGACCCCTTGGTATTTATCTTTTGAGGCAAAGGCAGGTTCTGGTTCTAGAAAGTTTGGTAGAATCCGCATGTGAGTTCTGGTGTCTTTGGTGTTTTCCGGGTAGATTTTCTATCTGTTTTTTCCTGAGCCTTTGTGCGCTGGAGCGGCGGGAAGGCTCAGGAAAAAACAGATGTCGAAAATATATTCTGAGGCGCGTGAAGTCGAACTTACAACATATTTGCCCTTTCGTAGGATACATGGAAATCTAGATATAATGCAGGTGTTGCTTGGAGAACAGAACTTATCTAGAAAACATGAGAGACAATGGGTTTGCGTAGAGGCATAATGATTGTCGGAAAGCAGATCTTTCGATTCAGTACTATTCATGATTCTCCTCAGTTTAGAACTTATGGTAGGTTTGCAGGGTTGATTCGAAGAATTTTTCAAGTACTAATGCTTTCTGAAAGTTGCTCACATAAGTCATAAAAATGGGCAAGTGACTTGTTTTATACATGTAATCAAATGAATTTCAAAAATTTTCTTACGATATAAATTAACCATGTAATATCTTAGAGTATGGCTACTGCTACATCCCCTTCAGAAATTCCCATCCATATATTTTACGTTACCGCCATGCTATTCAGTAGGAGAATAAAGAGATTTAGTGTATTGTGAACCTACTCGTTAAATTCAACTATCTTATTTTCAGACACGGTCCTCTCGACAGCATTTACGTACACTGCAGTCTGAGGTGCAGACATTGAGTAAAGACGGTACCTGCATGCAAACCGGGATACGGTAGGTGTTGTAGTCTCATAATCTGTAGATAAAATGTGTGTTGCAGTTGGATGGACACCGTGCCACTCACTGTATTTGCCTGCTTGATGACCATCGTCAACTCTGCTCTACAGTGCAACTACGAAAGAGCAGCGAAGTACTACACTATTGCCATGCGTCATATACAGGACTATTATGCTAGAGTGAGTGCTGCATCTTGTATATATACAAAGTGTATTAATGAAATATTTAGGCGTCACGAAACCCATGCGAGTATGGAATCTTGCGAAGTGTCCAACGAATGCGAATGGCTTTGAATGAGATGATGGCACAGTGCAACATTATGGCATGCCATCCTAGCATGGCAATGGATAATGTGAGGAAATTGCCGCTTCACTTATCTGCTCCTTGATTAATAAGATTAATATAGATTCGCGACATGGTACAGTTCAGTCAACGACATGGGCCAGACTTATTCGACGAGTTTGGTCCTGCTATACAATCGCTTCTGGTAATTATTGGTTCCGTTCTCACTGTCTATGACGATATGAATTTCCCAGGGGCATTATTGCATATACTTGCGAGAATCGGAGGCAGCCGAAAAGCACTTTATCGCCGCTTCAAAGGTTTGCTTTATGATTTCGTAATATTGGTAAATGTAGATAAAAATCAAACCTGCGGCACAGCTGATCTCTGCTTAGAAAATGGCTCTTTGAAAAGCACAATGATGCGCAGTGAAGGTCTTCATTGTGTTTTCTCCGCTTTCACATACAGGCATCGAGAAGAAGTAGATGAATGCTGGTCTACGAACTGCCCCATATGTAGCTTTAAGTGCTTTAAGATGTACGCTTTTTGCCTATCTTCCCATGTGCTAGTGAAGTTGGCAGTGTTAGCGCATGGTGCAGACTTGAGAAGAGTTCTGATGATTTGCTGCCTCTTTTGCAACATTTTTGTTTAGTTCAAGTCATGTAAAGACAAGAATGTTTGGGTAATGACCCACGTCAATTTGGCCATCACTTATCTGGCTCAATGCAAACACGCGGAGTTTTACGAGATTGCTGATCAGTATGTTATTTTTTTACTAAGCTGAGAAGCAGTTTGTCCCTCTCTCTTCCTGTCCCATATTGCAATTTGAGGCTGACGCCCAACCGGATAGCGGACTGCTCTCTGATTGTCAAAAGCAACGCTCGGTTTCTTCACGCTTTTCATGCATACTTGCTAAACAAAATCGCCGACTGCAGGTTGGAAAGTGAAATATCTCTATCTTTATGAAAACGAATTTTGCAAGTTTACTTGACATTTTTACGACACGCTTTTTGAAAGTGAAATACAGTTTTTGATCTCGATGCTGATCTTAGGAGTATGATCGCTGAATGCATGGAAACTGCTAAAACGGAGGATTTGTTTCGACTTCATGGATTATCTGTTTTGCTGTTCTCAATATTCGTTCCCGTGAATGCTGAAGTAGCACTACAAGCAAACAGTACTTGTAAATTTGTCTCGGATAATCCAATCAATCTCGCTCATCTCTGCATTGAAGGTGATTCTCCCAACTCTTGATTGGAGCAAAAAAGGTCATGACCACTCGTTGCACTGCTGGAGTAACAATACGATGGCAAGTAAGTTTCTGAGCCCAGCACACAGTGCTCCTTGAATTCTATCGCAACTTGAAGTGTGTTAACTGATTAAACGAATATTTTTAGGAGTGCTATCCTCGCACAATGTGGATAACACTGCCTATGTGGAAGCCGCGCGAAGAGAAATGGCCCTTCTCGATGAAGGTGTAATTCGAGCCGAACATCAGACAAATCCTAGCGCGGCATTAGTTCAGGTATCGCTTTATTTCTCGGTGCTTTCCGGACAAATCATTTTGATTGTAAATGTGGTTTAGTGGTTCGACGGCGATCCTATGGCCTATCTACCAAAGGACGAGTAAACTCATCTCTCATTTTCTCGATGACATTGTTTTTTTCTTCCGAGTCGGGTCCTGATATCTGTATAAAAGCGCTCAAATGACTGTCAAATGTACATAATCGACTTTGTAATAATTGTCAGAATTTGTGAATGAAGCTTAATTTTGAAAATTGCTAACCAAGCGTCATTAGAACTTTGAGTTCGTTTTAGTCCGGCTAATTCTTCAAAAAATTCCCTTCACCCTCCCTCTGCCCTCCCGAAAATGCTTCGAGAGGTTTTCAAAGTCACTAAAATATAGAATTTTCGAATTCCTCTGCTTCCACATTACCCTTGCCTGATTTTCTCAGTGTTGACTATTCCTCTCTTAATTCTTACTTCTTTAGTGTAGATTGGCTCTCCTTATTCAATAATTATACCTCATGTTCTGAGGTCTACAAAAGATTTTGCCTAACAGTTTATGAAGCCTTTAGCAAATTTGTTCCGATTAGGGTCAAAGTTTCTGGTATTCATAAGATCGACCTGCCACCACACATTCGTGCCTTAACATCTCAAAAACAACGTCTTTTTGATACTCTGCCCAATCCTTTGAGTTGCCTGTTGTATAAAAAAGTTTGTGCTGATATAGACTATCACATAAAAAAATATTTGTCATACCGTGAACGAATGCTTGCTAGAAGGAAGTCGTCTAAATATCTTTTTTCGTATTTGAAGAATAAAATGAAGCCCTCCCAACATTTCTCTACTTTAACAAATTCTTCTGGTACCTCTTATGTTAGCGATAAAGATAAGGCAGATGCTCTTGGTGCCTATTTTGCCAGCGTTTACTCCCCTGTCGCTATTAATGACAGCGATAGTGATGCTGACAGAATAAGCGCTGATGCAGTGCTGCCTCGCCATTTTTGCAATAATGTTCATTTTCATCCCGCAAATGTCTACCAGTTCCTTATCAAACTAAAACCTTCCATAACTGAAACATTTGATGGCATCCCTCAGATAGTATACCTAAAATGCGCCTCGTCGCTTGCGGCTCCGCTTGCACATATATTCAACATTTCGATGTTGTGGGGGGAGGTCCCTGACTTGTGGAAAGAAGCTTTGGTTACAGCAATTCCAAAAACTGACGGAGGATGTCGAATTGATAAGTTCCGTCCAATTAGCTTGCTTCCCACTCCTGTTAAGATCATGGAAAGAATCATACGTGAAAAACTTTTGGAATGGCTAAAGGTTTCGGATTTGATCCCCGATGAACAACATGGCTTTTTGAATGGAGCTTCCACCACAACAAATCTGGTTGATAGTGTGTTCGAGTGGAGCTTAGCAATCAACGAGGGCAAATCGGTTGACATTGTTTATGTTGATCTCTCGAAAGCGTTTGATAAGGTCTGTCATGCTAAATTACTAACTAAAATGAACAAATTAGGGATTAAAGGAAATCTTCTTTCGTGGTTGACCTCTTATTTGCATGATCGGTATATGACTGTGAGAGTTGGTCATCGTTACTCCAAGAAGTACTTCTGCACTAATGGTGTTCCACAGGGTGGTGTCTTAGCCCCCTTGCTTTTCCTGATTTACACCCTTGACCTACCTTCTACTTTGAAGACTTCCGCTAGCGTACACATCCGGATGTATGCTGATGACATAAAGATCTTTGCAGTCTATGATCCGGAAGTAGCTCCAGAGATTCAAATGGACTTGCAAAGGTCTCTTGATAATTTGACCAATTGGTGTGAGGTCTGGGAATTAGCCTTAAATTTTGACAAATGCTCAGTGCTTCATCTTGGAGGTGGAAATACTACCTCGTATCACATCAAAGGCTCTATATTGAAGAGTTGTGATACTGTTAGAGATTTGGGTGTCGTGATTGATACAAATCTTAACTTCACTGAGCATATCAATACGTTAGTCAAAAAAGCTTATTCTTCACTCTTTCTGCTTTTCCGCAATACTAATGCTAGTTCTCCGAAGATACTTATACCGCTTTATAAAGCTTTAGTTCTTCCTCATTTAGAATACTGTTCTCAGGTCTGGTCCCCCTTTCGTAAAAAGGATATTCGCAGAATTGAAAAGGTTCAACAGCTTTTTACACGACTGTTGTATAGACGTTTATCGCCCGAAACCACCCCTCCCGATTACCAGACCCGGCTTGAGAGGTTTCATATGAAATCCTTAACAAACCGTCGTGCCTTCTTGGATCTTGTATTCTGTTTTCAAGTTCTGAGAAGAGAGAACAAGCTAAAAGCCAGTAAATACTGGATTTTTGTTCCTACAAGCGAAAGGTCAGGCTCTTTTAACTTGCAATATCCAAGAATCCGGCGCAAGAGATACTTGCTCATGTTTAACAACGTGTTTTACAGGTCGGCTAGGTGGCTTTCGCACCTCCCGGTTGAGACCACTAGTGCAGAGAGTAGTCATATTTTCAGGAGTAGACTGAGAAGGCTTGACTTGTCAAGTATCGCTAACACTGATTAGTGTTGCATGACAGGGCGAGCCTTCTGCATTAGACCTTTTGGGCTTCCATTGGGTGCTTTGGACGTGCTATGATGGCGGATGGAATCGCTTTGGGCTTTGTTTTCTATCACCTTTCTTCTCCATTTTACCTCTAAAACCTGTCTTTTCAGGTGCTCGGTGATCTTGCATTGACTTGCGGGTTCAGTTGTGGCTGTAAATTATTTCTTTGACGCCTCTTGTGTATCTCCTCACGTTGCGTCAAACTTTTATTTTTGGTGTACTCGTTTTGTTCTAGTTACTAACACAGTTTCATCAGCATCTCAGTCCGAGTCTTTTTCGTTCAGCTATCTATTAGTCAATCGTACAGCTTGCTATTTCAACAAATGGGTTCAATGAGAATCGTTTCACCTTTGGGGTCATTGGGCCTCCCCAGCATTCCGGCTAGGTTGGGTTATGGTTATTATACCTGAGCCAGTAGACCTGCCTTATAAGCCGCCGGATTGTTTTTAAGAGTAACTAAAGATCGTTCCGCTGGCAACGAGGGGGCATGCGTCCCATCTCCATGGATTCAAAGTTTTGGAGTTATAAATCTCATGCCTACATCTGCATACTTATCTATTAGCCTACCAACATATTCAGTGCAAGCTGTTTTATCTTCTCACATTAGTCTGATTAGGATCAGACTCGGAATGACATGATGATGTCTGCATTTGTTTACATGTCTTGTTCGTTTCCGCTGTATTACTAACTTCCTGATGTGTCTTTTTTTTTATGGAACGCCTTGAGCGTACAAATGAAATGAAATGAAATGAAAATGAGTTTAAAAAATGTGCAAATGACTCATTCTGACTTGAAAAAAATTAGATTAATTTGAATTTTTTAAAAATTGAATTTGGCATTGTAAAAAATTTTGCAGTCACGCCCCCTTCTCCCTAATTTCGGGATTATGTGCTCGCAAAACTTTAAAAAGTTTCCATAAGAAATGTGCGGCTGCATGGCTAACGCCGCGCACCTTCACTCGAAATTTTTTGTTCTTTCCCGAACGGAAGTCATGGGTATGCAACTGCTTTATTTATCACTACGTAGTATATATAACGTTGGACCAATTCTGTTGCACCACTTCCAAAAATTCGTAACTTCCTTTATCACAAAGGAGTCACAGGAAATTAAATTTATTGGAAAGAGTAAATCAGGTACAGTTGAGTCATTACGTATGATCATGTGTGCATTGCACACATCGTCCTTCTTTGAAGTCCTCATCCTGGATTTGCAGTTGCAGGAACGCAAGATACCGATTGTTATCGGTTAATCACTTTGAGGACATTAGTGTCTGAAAGGGAAAACATATAGAACACCAGAAACTTCACCTGAAGGGGTGAAGGGCTTTATGTCGAAATGGGGCGGCCCTCGCGGTCATCTGCAACAAATATGCATTCTTTCACAGTATTTTCTACGGATAATTTTGTCGAATAAGTGAGAGATAAAATCGGAAAAAGGACATGATCCGACTTAGTGATTTGGAGAGCTATTTGAAAATCGAAGAACTGTGCCATAAAATCCGAAACAATCAGTTTCGTATGCTTTCTGATCTCCTCTTTCTAACTGAGCAAAGTTTGTGCTGATTGAGCTCCTTTTTGAAAAGTTATGAATTTCAAGAAAAATTGCAAAAAAATCACTTTTCCTAAAAGAATGATTTTTTGGCATTAATTTTTTCTCGAAAATCATAACCTTTCAGAGAGGAGCTCGATTAGCACAAACTTTGCCCATTTAGAAAAAGGAGGTCAGGAAACTATGACACTGACTGTTTCGCCTTTTATCGCACAGCTTTCGATTTTCAAAAGGCCCCTCAAACCACCGAAACTCGGATAATGTCCTTTTTATCTTCATCTCCGAGAGTAAAACTTAATCGAGAGTATCCAAAATGCCTTAGGAATATATATACATACAGTGACCGCAAAAAAGTTGCGGACAAGTTGCCATCCCTTTTTCAGCGTTCATTTTCGGATGGAAAACCAGGATGAAAAAATGATTGGGCTGCATATGGTGATAGAGCTCTTCAAGAGCTACAACCCACACAATGTGCTTTTTGGAAAACATGTATTTTAAAAATTTTAAAAATCTTTTTCTAGAAAAAGTCCGAAAATGGCCGCGTCACAATGTCGCGGACAATAATTCTTCGAACGCAAAAATTCCCTTTTAGATCTTTTTTTTTAGAGCAAAACAGAAGTTTTCCGAACAGGTAAGCATACTATATCGTAGAGCTCATCGCGGACAACAATTAGATAGTGGTTACCTCCAAAAAAAAAACGCAAGTTTGAAATTTGTTTTGCTTTTTCAAAAAAATAACTTCTATTTTTTTCTTTCAAAGCAAATTTCTTCAAACGGAAACCTGTTCAAGGCATCCCAACAAAGCTGTTCGGATAAAGTAGATGCTCTTTACCATTCTCCATGCATCGATGTGTGCTGGTGAGTTTCTTGGCTGAAAATGACTCTTGACAGTGCGTGCACATGACCCTACCTGCGCCTCACCACTGACTTGTACCTCTTTGCAGGCTTGTAGCTCAGCCGTCAAGCAATCTACGAGCCTGTACTTAGGCTCACTCGAAAGAACGTGACTTCCTCGACACGACGGTATGCAAATAAGTTTAGTTTGGGCAATCCCAGAGATTTGGCGGATAGGGTGGAAGAGGGCAGCCTTAGAGATGA